AAAAAATATATCTTGAAAGTTGAAGTAGAGTAACTTTTACGTTTCTTTTTGAACTGCCCTTTTTCGCGATGGTGCTGCTAACACCAACATGCAACACGCAGCATCTCTCGTCATCCTGCTCTGTAAGCACTACACTGGTGATTAATAATCAACGATGCCCTTCTCGTGGTGATAAACGTGTCTGCTGTTTGCCACAGAAACCCTTAGGTTCTGGCGGTTTCATGTCAATGTCAAACATTTATCATATAGCTTGTCTAGGCTATAGTGGGGTAGACACTATGGAGTACAGATTCCTAGGGTTTCCTACTTGTACCCAATCTTGTGCTAGTTCATTCATTCCTCATTTCTTCACATGGTATAGAGCAGGTTCCCTAGTGGGAACGCTTCCTTGGGCCCACCACTGATTTTTTTTATTTTCTGACCGGAGCGTCAGTCGCTCCTGCCCGAGGCGCGCCTTGTGGGCCGCCCTTCTGTCGAACTCTCTTAGAGGCCCCTATAACGGCCCCTCGCGCCACCCCTAGCGGCCCCGTCGCCGCCCTTCCAGGCCCCTCGCGGCCCCTAGCGGCCCCGTCGCCGCCCCTACGCGGCCTTGTCGCCGCCCCTAGCGGCCCCGTCGTCGCCCCTAGCGGCCCCGTCGCCGCCTCTCTCCCTACGCGGCCGCGTCGCCGCCCCTAAGCGGCCCTGTCGCCGCCCCTACGTGGCCCCGTCGCCGCCCCTAGCGGCCCCGTCGCCGCCTCTCTCCCTACGTGGCCCCGTCGCCGCCCCTACGCGGCCCCGTCGCCGCCCCTACGCGGCCCCGTCGCCGCCCCTAGCGGCCCCGTCGCCGCTCCACTCCCTACGCGGCCTCGACGCCGCCCCTACGCGGCCCCGTAACCAACCCTCGCGGCCCCGTCGCCGCTCCCCTCCCTACGCGGCCCCGTCGCTGCCCCTAGCGGCCCCATCGCCGCCTCTGCCGGCCCCGTCGCCACCTCTACTGACCCCGTCGCCGCCTCTACCGGCCCCTTCACTGTTGAGCCGCCCAGCAGCTGAGCAGCCGAGCCACCAAGCCGCCGAGCAGCCCAGCAGCTGAGCCGCCCAACAGCCGGGCCACCGAGCCACCGAGCCGCCCAGCAACCGAGCCGCCGAGCCGCCCGACAACCGAGCCGCCCAGCAGCCAAGCCTGCGGCCGCCCTGCCGTTGAGCCGCTACTATTCCTATCGGCGCGCCCCGGCCCTACTTACTCGGACTGGTGAGATCACTCCCTGCTAGGCCACTGCAGTCATAGCTACCCCCAATGTCCTTACCTTTGATCCTGAGGGTCGTGCTGTTGACTTTGAGGTCTGGGTCGATGACCTCCAGCTGTTCCTACAGTGCTGGCGCAGGGCAGGGCGCTGGTCGATGACCTCCAGCTGTTCCTACAGGCACCACAGGTGAGATCGTGCTGCTGCTGCTGGTGCTGCTACTCGTGCTACTGCCTTCACTCCGTACTGCCGTAGAGATCGAGCTCCTCCTAGCTTGCCCGCCATGACTTCCCTTTGTTGTACCGGTGGGAGTGGTGACGGCGGTGGTGGCAGCAGTGGGAGTGGTGGCGGCCGTAGTAGCAATCACAGTGGCGCTGTTTGGTGCGGAGTTTCTGGTGGTGGTCAGATGCTGCTACGGCGGCGTCCAAGCCTTACGTCCCAGCAGCTTCTTGAGTGGCTTTACCAGCGTGGGACGTCTCTGAGTCCTGGTCGCTGCTCGTACGTCATTTGCACAGGTCGTCGAGCTGGTCAGACCTGTGGGACACCTGGTCACGCACAGTCCTGCTGCTTCGCCTATTTGAGTGACGTCTGGCGCGCAGAGTTTGGCGACAAGACTGAGATTCAACACTGGCTTGAGCTGCTTAGGTCGGGCGTTGATGTCTTTGCTTTAGACTCTGACACCATCCTTACTCCTATGTATCCTTTGCCTGGTGGTGCTAAGAGTGACTGCTACCTCTGTGTGCAGTACGACCCCGGTACAGAGGTTGCTGCTCTAGGTGCTGGTGAGGCTTCTGCCTTAGGTGCTACCGAGTTTGCTCTCTGAGGTACTGCGCCTGCTGAGGCCTTGCACACCTTCACGCTTGACTCAGGGGCTTCCCGCTGTTTCTTTCGAGACAGTACCGCACTGACGCCACTCCCTGCACCTGTTGCAGTGTCTCTGGCTGACCCCTCAGGGGGCCCAGTTCTTGCACGGTCCTCCACTGTGGTACCATGCCCAGCGGGTCCGTCTGGCTCACTGACAGGTCTTCACCTCCCCTCATTCTCTACAAACCTGGTGAGCAACGCAGCCCTCCAGGATGCATGGGTTGATACCTTTACCCCTGGAGGACCGTGCGAGGCGATCTGTACGTGCTCGCGGAATGGCCGTCACCTGGCCACGTTCACCCGTCGGCCAAGGTCGAGTCTTTACACACTGACCACTGAGTCCCCTCAGGTAGCTACTACTGATCAGGTGTCTGCGTCAGGTCAGGTAGCCTCCCCTTGTGAGTGTCGCTCCCTGTCGCACCAGACTCTTCTCTGGCATCACCGCCTGGGTCACCCCTCCTTGCCACGTCTATGTGGCATGAACCGTTGCCTCCTTGTGTCAGGTCTTCCCGGGTCTCTCCCTCCCCTCCCTGCCTCGCCTGCGCCGCCCTGCCTTCCTTGCGTTGAGGGGCGGCAGCGCGCCGCTCCTCACTCCTCCTCGTTTCCCCCGACAGAGGCTCCTCTGCAGACCCTCCACATGGATGTGTGGGGCCCAGCACGCGTCCGTGGACAGGGCGGTGAGTGGTACTTTCTGCTGGTTGTCGACGACTACACGCGTTACACCACGGTGTTCCCCTTGCGCACCAAGGGTGAGGTCCCTACTGTCCTGATCCCTTGGATCCGAGCAGTTCGTCTCCAGCTCCGCCGCAAGTTCCGCCAGGACCTTCCTGTCCTGCGTCTCCACTCTGACAGAGGTGGTGAGTTCACCTCCGACCTCTTGCGGGCTTTCTGTTAGGGGGAGGGCATCGAGCAGTTGTTCACGCTTCCGGGCTCAACGAAGCGAAATGGGGTTGCCGAGCGCCGCATTGGCTTAGTCATGGAGGTCCCTCGTACCTCCTTGATCGGCGGATCCCCATTTTCTGTGGCCGTTTGCGGTTCGGTACGCCAGGCAGCAGCTCAACCTCTGGCCCCGTGTCTCCTTGCCGGAGACCTCGCCCACACTGCGTTGGCAGGGAGAGGTTGGCAATGCGTCGCGTTTTTGGGTCTGGGGTGCTCGTGCCCTTGTCCGCGATACGTCCGCGGACAAGCTCTCCTCCCGCACCATGCCCTGTGTCTTCCTTTGCTTTGTCCCTGAGGTGCATGGCTGGCAGTTTTACCACCCCACCTCGCGCCGTGTCTTCCCCTCTCAGGAAATCACCTCTGGCTGACACCTGTGGCGCAGGGCAGGGCGCTGGCGCAGGGCAGGGCGCGGGCGCAGGGCAGGGCGCTGGCGTAGGGCAGGGCGCCAGCGCGCGCAGGGCAGGGCGCCAGCGCAGGGCAGGGCGTTGGCGCAGGCTGCAGCAGTGCGTGACGCGAAGGGCAGCAGAGTGCGACGCGATTGGCTGCCTTAGGGTGCGAGGCGCGGGCTGCAGCAAAGCGCGACGCGCGAGGCAGCAGCGTGCGAGTCGTGGGCTGCCTTAGGTCGCGACGTGCGGGCTACAGCAGAGCGCGACACGCGGGGCAGTAGCGCGCGATGCGCGGGCTGCTGTAGGGCGCGACGCGCAGGGCTGCAGCGCGGGCGTAGGGCAGGGCGCCGGCGCAGGGCAGGGCGCCGGCGCAGGGCAGGGAGCCGGTGCAGGGCAGGGCGCCGGCGCAGGGCAGGGTGCCGGCGCAGGGCAGGGCGCTGGCGCTGGGCAGGGCGCTGGCGCAGGGCAGGGCGCTGGCGCAGGGCAGGGCGCCGGCGCAGGGCAGGGCGCTAGGGCAGGGCAGAGCGCTGGCGCAGTGCAGGGCACTGGCGCAGGGCAGTGCGCTGGCGCAGGGCAGGGCGCCGGCGCAGGGCAGGGCGCTGGCGTAGGGCAGGGCGCTGGCGCAGGGTAGCGCGGCGCGGTGGTAGTGGAGTAACGCGGTAACCGCAGTCGAAAGCCAAGTATGGTGGGCCCAAAAGAAAAACGGTCCTACGGACCTACTGCTCTGATACCATGTCAACATAGCAAGCAGAAATGGTTGCATTGAATGAAATGAGGGTACAAGTACTAGCCCTAACTTTGGGTTTTACCCTATATGGGCTACCCCACTATAGCTTGTAGGGTTGAAAAAGGGCCCTTAGGATCTTTGCAGGGGTGAACTCTGGGTAGAGGTGGTGTAATAGCGGAAGCGTTAATAAACTGTTGTGAACCACCTTGCGCTAGTATGTGAGAGCAAAGTAAGTTGATTAAAACAAGGAGATACAATATTATATATGAATACAGGGAATATGAAAAGACACAGTTATAACTACTTCACTGTTGCTGTTGCGATTCGATACAGTGACGACTCGGGCAACTACTATGTAACGAGTCAGTTGTGTGTCCTTGCTGTCGCGCTGTACTTGTCAAGTCAAAGGTCACTGACCTTTGACTTTCGCGTAACCTCCAGCGGTTACTTCAACCTCCAAGGGTTGACTCGCTGGTTCCTCGATATGCTTTGCTTTGCTTGTGCCTTGGTGTTTCAACACGACAGAGGTGCTTAGGACCGATTGTTTCCAACATAGCCTACACAGAACTAACACAGATTTAGTTTGACAAAATTTAGACTTCAGACTAGGTACGCAAAAAACCGTCATCGCCCGGATATAAGACAGTGTTGAATAGTAGACAGGGGTTGTCTACTATACGGATGTCTCTTATAAACAAGCAAGCCTTTTTATACAACACCTATTTGTGTGTACGAGTTAAGACATATATGTCTTATAATCAGAACCAGGGTTTAGGGGTTTTCTTATAAACAGGGAGTGTCTTCTTATCTAGCTTTCCTACTTTAGGGGGGTACATGCATACAGTCATGAATCTCTACTTCTACCTAACCCCCCTCAGTCACCGCCTCCTCACCTGCACTAACATCAGGCTCTACACCCAGGTCTGGCACTCGCCAGGCATGCCTAGCCGTCTCCCTAGGCTCGATCATGCGGTCAGCCTCGGCCGCCGCTCCGCGGTAGTTGGGGGTGTCCTGGTACAGCACCTCCAGGCCGGTTGCCACGGCCACCTCCTGCACGCCCTCCGCCTGCATCGCCTCCTCCTTCTCCTCTGGAGCCCGACCGAGCAGGCGCGTGTTGTCGCCTGTGGTCCCCCCGAGAGACATGTCCGCGGAGACATCGGTGGTGCTCCTAGCGCGCAGGTGAGACATCACCAGATGGTTCTCTGTTCCGTCCAGCTTGCTCGAGATCCCACAGTGGCGGAACGCGTCGATGATGAACTGCTTAGGGACTTTATCCCAAGCCTCCGCGATCCACTGCAGCACCACGGAGTGCGGAGGCCTCCGCAGGTTCCCTGCGGGTGGGACAGAGGACGGGGCAACGAGATGTAAGAGACACGGATATGAAGGAGCATGTTTAACACAAGGACACAAAACAGAACATGAATGAAACCGTAAATGAAGGACCAACTCACCCTTCTTCGTCTTCAGGTGAATCCCTTCACGCATGAACCACCTGGCGTAGCGCGCTCGCACTGTAGCCTTGAAGCACCGGTTCATGAAGACGTCCAGGGGTAGAATCTGGCTCGTACAACCCGCTGGGATGACTGCAGGGGTGATGCTGTGCGTGCGGTACGACTGAAGCATGGTCTAGGTGATGTGACCGCGGTAGGAGTCCAACACCACCATCGCCCGCCTTGCGTTCTGGCCGCGCTGGGGGTTCAGTTGGGGCAGCACCTCCTTGGACAGCTAGGTCTGCACAGCGGTCTCGTCCATCCACCCGTTGTCCTGTGCTTGGACCACGATTCCTGCCAGGCACACAGGGGACAGACGGGCTTCAGCACAGTGGGGCACGCTCATCAGGCAGTCGCACGGTTGAATTCACACTCGCTTACCCTCCGGAATCTCACAGTTGGGGACGTTCTTCATCTTGAACCACACCCACGGTCGCAGCTTCTCCCCGGATGCAGTGCACGCAAGCATCACCGTCAAGCGCGTCTTCTGGTAGCTTGCAGTGCGGATTGGGACCGAGCGCACGCCATGGTGCTCGATCGTCCGTTCGGCTGGCATCTCCACGAATAGAGGAGTCTGGTCCGCCTTGATGATGCGGGCTAGGTCGATTTTGTGTCGCGCCTTGTTGATGCGCACAAACTTCCAGAAGGACTCGCAGTCCTTCGCGCACTCTGCAAACGGGACAAGCGCAACGGAAGCACGGGATGGTTAGACACTGGGTGAGGTACATGCATTTAATAGAGCGCCAGACGAAATCCTTCAACACGCACCTGCTGACAAACGTTGGCCGACCTTGGTCTTCACCCGCATCACCAGGTTCCAGCGGTCACGGAAACGTTGGCTCCACTGAGAGCTCGCGTTCCAGTTCTTGCCGGGGTAATGCTTCTTCATCCACTCGCGGCTCCACTTCTGGGTGTCCTTCACCGAGATGGCCACCCCGTTAGCGCGCTGAAGGCAGATGTAGCGGTACAACGCTGCCTCCATGTCGGGGTAGTGTGAGTGGCGCCCCCCCCCGTGCATCCGCTTGCAGCAGTTGGCCGCGCCCTTGTAGATGCCCGCTTCCGCCTCCGCACACCAGCGTCTGATGCAGGCGATGGACGCGGTTGATTCCACGCTCGTCTTCTTCAAGGAGCCGAGATCCTGATAGCAGCGCGCCCACTTAAGCTTCTCACGCACGGTCCAACTGCGGCGCTTCTTCGTAGTGTCTTTGCTGCGAGGGGAAGGTGGGCGGGTGTTGGGATTATGGAGGGTGGGGTCCCTCGGCGTTACCTTCTCAGGGAACGTGGGAATCGGGCCCGCCGTCGCCGTGTTCTCATCGTCGCTGCCTAGCGGCTCGTTCACGACGATGTCGTGAGGATTCGGCGCCTTCTTCGCCTTCTTCTTAGCCGCACCCTTGCTGGATCCCGAGTCTCCGTCGGATGTCAGCTTCTTGTTGCTTGTGCGGCGACGAGCAGGGACCTTAGCGGGGGCCTTAGCAGGGGCTTCCGCGACCTTGGCTTTCCCCTTCTCTGCAGCGGTGAGTATCGGGCGACGCTCCTCCCCCGCACCGTCGTCGTCAGAGAGCACCACACGGGCCCGCTTTGACTTGGACTGTAGGCGATGGCGCAGCCTCCGCTTCAGTAGCGGGACGTTGTCGTCAGTCCCAAAGCTCCATGGGTCGTCGTTGCCGCCTTCCTCGCCTTCAGCATCCGCAACTGCGGTCGCATCCGCACGCGCAAATGTCTCAAGTTCCACCCCCGCCTCGTCGTCAGTCTCCTCATTCGCATCCACCGCCGCTTCCTGTGCATTCGCCCGTATTTATTCACCTGCACGTGAGGACGAGGTGAGGACTTGCCTACTAGTACTTTGCTGCGCATGGTTAGAGAGCCTGCCGAGAGCAAGGTTGAGACGAGTATTCAACCTCCTTGAGCACGAAATGAAGTGAGAGCCCGACTACCCCCCCCAGCCAGAGTGCCCCATCCATAGGTGCCGAGCCGCTCCTCTAGGAGGCATCTCCTCATAGAGGACAGCCCTCACGCTGCCAACGTGCTGCCAGCAGCGTTTTGGAAGCATCCATGCGCTCCTGGCAGCAAAACGACGCTGGCAGCATCATTAGATGCTGCCAGCACAGAGGAATGTTGCCAGCGGTGGCAACTCCCTCACGTGGAAAGTGTGGGCGCTGCATGCATCACCACCGAGGTCGGCCTGTTTAAATGAAATTGGTCTTTGGGTGGTTTCTACACACTTTGCAAGTCTTACAGTCAACTTATTTTTTTTTTCCATTTAAAGACTTATAAGACACCCTAAACCATCCCATTTACAAGATAACTCAAGCATTTTTGCCCGTGTACGAGATAAGACATATATGTCTTATATCCGGGCGATAACGGAATGTCTGAATGGATGCTGAATCAGATTTAAAAGTCTGATATCTAGGGCACTGGCGCTTAGCCTCATTTCTTGCTTTTTTGTTATCACTCCCGCGATATTGCAATTTGCACACTCCTCTTCAAACAACTCATAACACCAAGTCCCATTATTCTCACTACATTACTTGGTTATAACATCTTGCACCAAACTTTCGTTTGTGACAGGCCGTTCTGCTTGCACATTCTGAGAACGGTTTCCCATTTTGCAGCCAACTGCAGTCCTTGCAAAAACATTTTAATGTAGCCACAGCACAGAAGCAAGCACCAGTCAAAATGCTAACAGCTCCAGTAGGGATTTTTTCAAAGAGCAGTCAGACAGCTACACTCCGCTCAGTCGGTCTTCTCTACCTTCTTCTCCACATGGCCAGTGGTTGGCCTGCACAGCACAGCATGAACAAGCAGAAGCATTTAGCAAGTGAAAGAGCGGGAGCAGCAGCGAAGTGCAAGCAGGGAGGTGAGGAAGGTAGACTTACAAGCCAACAAAGACCTTGAAGGCATCGTAGATGCCCCATTGCAGCCCTGTGAGTGTGCCCACCATAACGATGCGCAGAGGCAGCCCACGCGTGCACAGTGCCACGATGCCCATCTTCTCCACCGCCTGTTGCATGTCAAGGCCACCAGCATGCGCAATCCAGACAGCGCATTATGGTCAAGCTACCTGTGCGCCACACCAGCCAGCTCAGTAGTTTCACGACGAGGAGCTTAAGGCTGTGCCCCATGAACAATGACATGAACACTAAACCAAGGTGCAAGGTGTCTATCAACCCTCCAGCGTCAACTAAGGAGGATTTGGGCCCGTGGGTGGGGTGTGTACCTGGGCAACAGTGGCGCCCTTGGCGTTGTTGAGGAAGGACACTAGGTTGTCAGCGGGGTGCGAGACCACAGCGCAGAAGACCCCTGCAATGTACCCCGCGGCGAAGCTGACGCCCAGCTGCGTGCGCTTGGAGCACTCGTCCTTGGGGTAGGGCACCACGTACTTGTACAGCGCCTCCACCGTCTTCTCAAAGCACGCAAACTTCATCATCGTGTCTGCACACACGCACCGGAGGAGGGGAGAAAGGACCTCAGGATTTATTCCTTGCAAGCAGCATGTGCTTCCAAAAGGCTAGGAGAGACGGTGACAGAAACGCATGGTAGTGCGGAAAGCTAGGAAAAGGATCAGGGGCTAGGGTTTAAGGTAAAAGAGGCGAACAGGGAAATGACGTGGATCGCAGAGTCACAACTAGCGCTTATATGCCTCTCGGCTTACAGGGAATTTGACGGCCCCATAGAGGTCCGATACCCTTGTACAGCCTGCACGATAACGAAAGTGGGACAAATTGAATTAGCTGAAGTTATCCACAATGAACATGGCAACAAGCACGGAGGGATGATTCGTTATGATCAAGCATACTTAAGCAGGAACAAAAGCATGCTGATGGTAAAGCTTTTACCTTTTTTTTAAAGAGGTCTGATATAAGGAGAATGACTCACCCGCCGTATCCCTCAGCGGCAACGTATTTGGGCCAGCCGTCAAGGAGCCCCCGCGCAAAGCCAGGCTGCGTCTGCACGCGCACCTTCACCGCCTCGAACGGGCACAGTGCCAGGTCAGCAATGACCTCGGCAGACGCGGATCCCGCCAAGTAGATGAGAGTGCGGTACTTGTCGCTGAACTCGGGGCCCGCGAGGTCGCTGTAGAGCTTCTTGAAGTACTCGTAGAAGCCGAACTTGCACGCGCCCTGCGCGCTGTACCCCAGCAGCGTGGGCGCCCAGCCGCGGAAGAAGCCGCGGAAGCCCTGCTCGCGGTAAAGCACGCCGAAGCCCGACGAGATGCTCTTGTACTTGGCGGGGTCGATCTGAAACCAGCGGAGCACACACACGCAAGGTTTCAGGGATCAAACGCCATCGAGAAGATTCGGGACGCGGCCAGGACACGATGGAGGCTACTTCACGAATCCAGGAATGTGAGGAGCTCTGGGCCCATGATCCACATTAAGATCTTGATTGGTTGTGGTAGATCCAGAGCCTAAAACGATCCAATCAAAACCGCCCGATCGTCATCAATCCAGTGCACTTACATCCGAAGTCGATCAGCATGCTTGTTTTCACGCTTGAGTACTTATGTGTAATCTACTTGATGCTCGCCCGTCGATTCTAACGTTTCAAGCATTTAGGGGTTATCAGACTTTAAGAAAGAGGAGTGAAGGTCCAGACTTATGGAACGACTGATCAAACAACGAAACGATCACCTGAACGATTGATCATGAGATCAGCATCGCGATCCGATAATTAACGCGACCCCGATCCGTTAGCAGAATTAAGACCAGATCATAACAACGACCTAATCCAATCACGGTCCAAACCTCACAGTCCAAACCTCACCTGCATGTTGCACTTGACGAGATCGAGCGGCGTCACCGCCATGTGCGTGAGCCCGCAGCTGAGGATTCCGCCCGCCGTGCACGCCGCGTAGAACTGAGGCGAGTGCATTGCGATCTTCCCCTTTGCCTCTGTCGCTGCTGGCACAAAGAACCGACTAGCAGCACTGCCACTGGTGCTGCCGCTGTTGCCAGCTTTCCTGGCAAGGTCGAGGCCGTTCCTCGCCGGAACCAGAGCCGACGTGGCTAGCAAGTCGACCGACATGCTCACCTCCGGCTGAGCTGAGGCTCTGCGGAGCGCAGCGGCTGCTGCTGTTGAGTAGAGAGACGAAGGAAGGAGTCCGTGTCTCCTGTCGTTAGATGAAAAGGCCATTGAGTATGGAGCAGTAAGCGATCTGGCTGGGATCGATGTGAGGGCGTCCTGGATCGACCGGTACCTAGGCGCGGTTGTATAGTAGTGACTGTGACGAGGTCGGAAGGTGGGTGAGAGGTTGATGGCCTGGTGGTGGTGGAACAGCAGCCGCTGCCAGAAGCAGCCGAGGCAGGAAGGAAAGCCTGAAGGTCGTTGTTTCAAAGAATGACCAGCTTGGCCCAATAAATGTCTCGGGTGGGAGGCGAGGGAGATGCCTCTGCGGCACACGATTGAGGAGGGAGGATGATCAAAAATCGAGATGCCAAGGACAACTCTCGAGGGAGGTGGTGGGATGCGGTTGGGTGAGGAAAGATCGACAGCAGGGTGAAGTGGCTGCTCCTTTCGTTGCGTTGCGTGGTTGTGCCCCCCACCAGCACAACCACAGCAGAACTTCACTCTGACTCGACACACCAGCACCAATGTGGTCCCACGGCGGCGCGCATACTGGCGGAATATTTCAAGGTGTAATAATCTGGGGACAATCCGGGCTGCCCGAGAGTAGGAATGTTTTTCGCTTGACGAATTGCGATTGAAAGGTAGGTGATGAGACGATGCTTCGCCAAGCGCAAAGAGAAACGCTCCCAAAGGTTTGGGGTAGGCGATCGCCAGCCACTCACCACACGCACACGTGTCAAAAGAGTCCAATCACCTTGGCATCGTCGTGTGACCAACCCAACAGAAATTCTTTGTCGAAAAATGGACGGACGGGGGGTACGACTGTACCTCTTCGTTCAGGAAGCGTTAACACTTAACGGTCCCCGCGCTTTTCCGTCACGTCCGCCCGAAACTTGTTCAGCGCAAAATATCTCAGTAAAAACAGGCTCGCTATTCGAACAAAGAGGTGGGTGCACTATTTTGGGACTATTTTAGTGCACCCAGGTAATATATTAGGATAGACTTTTATACACAACCTGATGTAGTACATTTCTACAAACGCAATGCTGGGGGCGATGATGGGGTTCGATGTTTAGGGTATGAGGCGTCTCAAAGCACCCGGGAACATAGCATTGCCTTGAGGTTGACGTGGCGCACCACACCTGCATGTCTCGCCTGGTGATTTACAGGCACTCATTCATGAGATACTTGCTTGTGAGGCGCGCACTATGGCCAGTTTATAGGGCTGTGTCAAACTATGCTGCATGTTGTGTAAGCTGTAGCATGATAGCCCAAATGGGGTACAACCCAATTAAGGTTTGTTTCTTGTACTCCTTCGTATTACTAGTTCATTCATTCTCGTTCGTGATTCTGACATGGTATCAGCAGGTCCTGACCTAGGACAGTTTTTTATAGGGCCCACCGAATCGTTCTCTGCTTGTAGCGCGTTACCCTACCCATAGCGCCCTACCGTGTTCGTCGCGCTGTCCCACCAGTCGCGTTACCTTGCTCGCGCGCCGCCCTGCTGGCTGCCGCGCAGCCTTGCCCTGCCCTGCGTTGCGCTGCCTAGCGCGCGCTCTGCCCTGCGTTGCGCTGCCTAGCGCGCGCTCTGCCCTGCCCTGCGTTGCGCCGCCCCACGCACGCCCTGCCCTGCGTCGCGCTGCCCGCGCACGCCCTGCCCTGCCCCGCGTCGCGCTGCCCTGCGCACGCCCTGCCCTGCCCCGCGCTGCGCTGCCCTGCGCACGCCCTGCCCTGCCCCGCGTCGCCCCGCACACGCCCTGCCCTGCCCCGCGTCGCGCTGCCCTGTGCATGCCCTGATCTGCCCCCCATCGCGCTGCCCCTGCAGCCCGCGCGCCTTCTCTGCAGCCCGCGCGCCGCCCCTGCAGCCGGCGCGCCGCCCTGCAGCTCGCGCGTCGCCTCTGCAGCCCGCGCGCCGCCCCTGCTGCCCAGCGCGCCAACGCGCCCCGCTGCCCAGCGCGCCAGCGCCCCTTGCTGCCCACCGTGCTAGCGTGCCCTGCTGCCAGACGCGCCAGCGCGCCCTGCTGGCCAGCACGCCAGCGCGCCCCGCTTCCGAGCACGCCCCGCTGCCCAGTGCGCCAGCGCGCCTCGCTGCCCAGCACGCCAACGCGCCCCGTTGCCCAGCGCGCCCTGCTAAACCCTAAAAAAATGAAATGAAAGAGCCCTAGGTACCACTCCTGCCTGCCCGCGCGCCGCCCTCTGCAGCCCGCCTGCCGCCCTGCTGGCCGCGCGCCAACTCTGCCTGCAGCACACCGCCCTACTCTGGCCACGCGTCGCTCTTCCCTGACCGTACGCCGCCCCGACCTACCCTAGTGCCTGCTCGCCGCGCTGCCTTCCCTCCGTGCCGCTCTACTGGTCGCACGCCTCCTTGCTTGCCCGCTGTGACTTCTCTTCTTAGTAACGGTGGGAGTGGTGACGGCGGTGGTGGCAGCAGTGGGAGTGGTGGAGGCCGTAGTAGCAGACGCCGTGGAGTTGTTCGGTGGGGAGCTTATGGCGGTGGCCAGATGCAGCTGCACCGGCGTCCGCGCGAGACCCTTCCGCCCAAGCAACTACGTGAGTGGTACACTAGTAGGAGTGGTGGCGGCGGCCGCAGTGGCAGTCGTAGTGCAGCTGTTCCGTTGGGAGCTTCTGGCGTTGGTCTGGTGCAGCTGCAGCGGCGTCCGTGCGAGACCCTTACGCCTTAGTAGCTTCGTGAGTGGTACGCTTAGAGTGGGGGGTCTCGGAGTAGTGCTCGCTGCCTGTACGTCATTTGCACAGGTGATCGGGCTAGTCAGACATGCGGGACACCTGGCCATACAGAGTCGTGCTACTTCTCCTGTCTGAGCTGTGGAGAGTCACTACAAAACGGGAGTGGACTACAGTGTAGGGCACGGGGTTATGCGAGTGATCGTAGCTTTGTTCTAACGTTCTTACTACTTGCTGTGTTCACAGAGAAGTTTTGGCAAGAGTTTCCACTAAGGAATTGAAAGAACAACTTGTAATGAAAGGTTGATAGTGCAATTGAGGCATGCGGAACAAAAGGACTAGAATGGCATGCAACACCTAGCAAGGGCGAAACCTGCCAGCGCAGCAGAAGAGCGGCTTGCCAACGCTGCAGCAGAGTGATATGCCAGCGTTGCACCGAGCACGTTCTGCCAGCACTGCAGTTGCAGGTAACTATCAACAGTCGCAGATTGTCTATCTGCGCAGATGTGCGCACCTACCAAGTAGGTGCAGGTTGGTGGTTTCACCGTCAGGCACATTGCGCAGGTGCCAGGTAGAAAATGTGTCGTCGGTTTTGCCAGGTGTGCACCGTCGACCACGTGATGCCATTTCGCTGGTAGAACTTCGCCAGAACCTCCTGGGCGAAAGTTCGCACGCCTCTGCAGAGTTTTGCGCAACTCTGCGGAATCGGTCGATCAGCTCAACAACCCTCAGTCGAACAAAGTTCGCCAAGCAAAGCTCTTCGACCCGAACTATTTGACCACAGTTCCTCGACCCAAACTCTTTGACCAGAGTTCTTCGACCAAAAGCGTCGCGCAGAGCTCGTCGACCTGATTCTGTCGAGTTGAGCCTGCTCGACCGAAACTTCCTTCGAACTGCAGAAACCCACTTCTTCTACCAAACCGTCGAAAACTTCCCGTCGACGGCGAGATCGGTTGCGCCCAAGCAAGGGCGGGGCCTTTCTCTTCGACATTCCCCTGCCCAGCTCACGCTTGGGCACCCACACACAAGGTCCACCCAAAACCCGAAGGGATAGAATACAAGGAGAAAAACCCTTCTATGTGCACCCCACACATAGCACATAGATCACCGCACCAGCTGTGCAGAAAGGGCACGGCACCTACTGCTGCACCTCGTCATCCCCGTCGCCCACGTTGGCCAGACGCACTTGGCTGATTGCGACAGAGCACCGGTTGAAAGCCGGAAAATGCCGCGCATTTGTCAGAAAATTTGCCGGCTGCTCGGAGGTCGGGATTTACTACAGAGCAATATTCCCGCGCTTTACTATCTGCTGCAGCCAGGCGTAGCGTCGCTCCATGTGCTTGAGGTTGCCCTTGAGCCCCAAGCCCTCTGTGATAGTGATTGCAGACTGATTGTCCACATGCAGAACAGTCGGCTTCCTTGGGTCGAGCAGACGGAATTGTGCAAGGAGGAAGCATAGACGGCAAGCCTCTTTGCTATCTTCGTTGGCCGCGACGTGCTCTGATTTGGTCGGCGAGAGCGTCGAGCACTCGATGTGCTAGCTGGACCAGGAGACTGCGGCTTCTCCGAAGACGAAAACGTTGTCGCCCGTGCTCGTCTGATTCTGTTTGTCGCAAGCATCGTTGGCATGTGCATAGCCAAACTGACACAGCGACTCTGGTCCGCCGCCGAACTCCAGAGCGGTGTCATGAGTTTCAGCAAGGTAGTGCAGACAGCGATCAACCTCACGCCAGTGGTTGTCGCTTCGCACTGTCCGGCCGGATCCAAGCTTGCTACAAGCAAAAGCAATGTCGGGCCTCATCGTGGTGGCCGCGAACTGCAGCGAGGCGACCTCGCACGACTGAAACTCCTCGTCGTCGGACACCAGCTGTGCGTAGGCGCCGACGGAGACCAGCGTCTTTGGCACTCGCCCAGTCTGATCCTCGTCGATGAACCACCGACGCAGCATGTCGACGTAGACTTGCTGATGAAGCCACAACTTCCGTGTAGGACAGTCACGCATGATTTCCAGCCCGAGATACTTCTCAACCGGGCTAATTTTGTGCAGCTCAAAGGCGGCCTCCAGCAGCTCCTTCAACTCATTCTGCATTGCACTGCTGCTGCTTGCAGCCAGTAGGTTGTCGACGTAGACGTGCACCCAGCACGCCACTCCGTCGTTGCCGACCTTGAAGTAGAGCGCCTCATTGACCTGGCTCTTCTGCCAGTCGGCGCCAGTTAGAACTGCGTTGAGCGCCGAGTACCACAGCAGTGGACTCTGCTTCAGGCTGTACAAGCTGTCAGAATGTTATTATCTGGCCTGTAGCGGGGTGCTTTATAGCGAGTACAACCCTGTAAGGGTTTGCTATATGTATCCCAACTGCTGCTAGTGAAACCCTCCTTTTGTT